TTCTTTCTTTCTTTTTTTTTTTCCTGAGCTGAGCTCTCTCTACGTAGCTTTGGCTGGCCTCCAGGACTCACTCTGTAAACCAGGCTGGCCTTGAACTCACAGAGAGCTGACTGCTTCTGCCTCTGCTGAAACTAAATGCATGCACTACCAGGTCTGGCCACCATTCCCCTTAACAGCCTTAACGAGAAATGACACATCATTTCTGCTCAAATTTGCTTTGGTCATAAGTAGTCACATGAACATGACCTCAACCAACTTGCAGAAGGAGCTTGCGAGACGTAAAGGTGTTTTTTTGTTTTTAAACATGGTTTCACCACACCTGGGAACTTTTAATCCATTGGGTGGTTTTATTTTTATTTTGCTTCTAGGAAATGGTTCTACCAAAAACCCCTGCTCAGAGACTTACCGAGGGCCTGCACCTGAGTCAGAGCCAGAGGTGGCTGCGATCGTGGACTTCATCACGAGCCACGGGAACTTCAAAGCTATGATCTCCATCCACAGTTACTCTCAGATGGTCATGTACCCATATGGCCATTCTCTGGAGCCTGTGCCTAACCACGAAGAGCTGGTAAGATTGGCTGGATGGAGTGTGGAAAAGCAGAAAGCTTCTCTCTAGGAAACGTCACCTCATGTATCCGCAGGTGGCTCCTTTGGTTCCCAATAGGGGGTCTGGACCAATGATAGGGAGGGTCTGTGGGAAGAAGAATCAGCAGGGTTTTTCCCAAGTGTGATCAAGTTCAAAGCTGGAGGGATTGTACTATGTACGCGGCCAACTTCCAGGACTCCCAATCCCAAGCTTCTCCTCATGCAAGGCTTGGCAATCGCCTGCCTCTTACTCTCTGGCTGTCATTTACAGTTCGATCTTGCCAATGATGCAGTAAAGGCTCTTTACAAGGTGCACGGGATCCAGTACATTTTTGGCAGCATCAGCACAACCCTCTGTGAGTGAGCCCTTATCTGTCTGGGGCAGGGCAGGTGCAGCTTGAGCAGGTACCACTGACCTAGATGGGTTGGGTGGATGGTAGTACCCAGGCAGCTGTTTCTCAGCAGCATCCGTGCACAGACCCTGTTACGAAGTTCTCTGAGGGAGAAGGTTCTCAGTCTATCAGCCTACTTGTGTCAGGGGGAAAACTGGTTGGGGGTGGGCAGGGTAGGACCCAGGATGAGGCCTGACTCAGGAAGCTTGACGTGGCCAGGTTCAGGTGGGTTGCAGGACCCACTTTCCACTCAGGATTCCTCTGTATCCTGTGACTACACCTTCTTCCTTCTTCCCAGGCACTTTTTGGCCCTTTTCTTTTTAGATTCAGCCAGTGGGATCACAGTGGACTGGGCTTATGACAGTGGCATCAAGTATGCCTTCAGCTTCGAGCTCCGGGACACTGGACAATACGGCTTCCTGCTGCCAGCCTCACAGATTGTTCCCACAGCCGAGGAGACATGGATGGCATTACGGACCATCATGAAACACACCCTGAATCACCCCTATTAGCCACACTACTCAGGCCAGAGCAGTTGGGGTTCACCCCTTTCCCTGAAAGTCCTCCTGAATTAAGCATCCCTTTCCCAAACCGCCAGTGGACCCTTAGCAAGCGGAAGCGACTTTGAACAGGCCTCATTGCCTCTAGTGTTGGGTGCCATCTCTTTGGGCTGCTTAGACATCCCCTCAGGGCAGCTTGTCATGTCTGGGATACCCCACCATCCCACCCCCTGCTGGCTTCAGAAAAATATGAGGCCTGAGCTCTGCCTTTCTCTCTCTTTGTTCCCTGTCCCTGGGAATGGCCAAAATATACGTTGCCCTAGCAGTTTTTGACATTTTAATAAATCCAGAGGGGACCAGGCTTGATTTAAACAACAGAATATCCAATGGTGAACCTTCTGTTCCCTTGAGGAAGAAGAGAATCCTTTCCCTTCACCCTCTCAGGCTGGGGACAGGGTGGAGAGCACAGTCAGGGGGCTTACTCAAGGGTTGAACTAACCCCATGTCTGAATCTGAACAAGTCCCTGGTTTATGACCATCAAGGTTAGGTATGTACTGAGTTGGACTTAACTGAGAAAGTAAGAGGGCAGCACTTTGAGACCTCAGTGAGGTGTCTCTCACACCCGCCACTGGGGAGCAGGGAGAGGGCCTGCTGTTATGTCCTAGAAGCAAGAAAGCAGTTGAAGACTGGAAGTATTTGTAGCAGTCTGAGGCAGAAAAACTAGTTTAAGAACAAGACTTTTATTTGCAAAAGTCAGGCCTTTTGTGAGTGTGTGTGTGTGTGTGTGTGTGTGTGTGTGTCTGTATGTAAGGACTCTGGATGACCACAAGCCAGTTCTTGAGCAACACAGAGAAGAATGAAAGCAGAAAGATATAGGAAGAAGCCTCTTCAACACAGCCTGCAAAAAGAGAAACACTGGCTGGAAGGAGGCGATTTTACATGATCAAACCCATACATATTCACTAGATCAAACCTAGACAAGGGCCATACTCACTGCAACGCCGAAGCAGGGAATTACTGAGGAAGAAGGGGGCTGGGCTGATATTACAGGCAACTGTATGAGCTGCAGCTATTGGGAATTCTGAGCAAGACACACACACACACACACACAGACACAGAGAGAGAGAGAGAGAGAGAGAGAGAGAGAGAGAGAGAGAGACAGAGACAGAGACAGAGAGACAGAGACAGACAGAGACAGAAGAGAAAATGCAGCCTATATCACATAATGACATACTAGCCATTATATGGACATGCAAAAGACCAGCTGTGGACACCCCTAGGAAGTTAGGGTACTTAACCCCTAAAGAGCCTGGATTATTTTCAGGGGATGAGCCAGTAGTGGAGGAGGTCAGAACATTCTGGTTAAAATTTCCATAAGAAACTGAGGCATTTTTATTTTTAAGGCTGGAAGTGGTTTAATCGAGCTGGAATTTCCAACCTGAAGTTTTCTGTTAGTGGAAATACAGGGTCACGAGCTACGTTAACATAAGCTATAGATAAATAAAATGGCCTCTACTTCTGCACACTGGAGCCATGGGTATAACTTTCATGCCTTCTACACAAATATTTTCATTTTATCCTCATGGGAAAGAACATTACTGGTATTAATAAACTCATTTTTAAATTAAAAAAAAAACTGTTGAGACAGAATCTCACACTGTAGTTCAAGCTGGCCTGGAACTCACTGGTATAGTCCTGGCTGGCCTTGAGCTCATGGCAATCCTCCTGCCTCAGCCTCTTGTGAACTAGCATACCTGGCTTGATAAATTCATTTTTAAGACAAGGAATGCTATTTCAGAGTATTAAAAACCCTTACACGGCCACACAGTCTGAAATTTCTGTCACCATTCATCAAAGTGAGATATCTATAGCAAAGTCTGTGGAAACCTATTTATCAGGAAGGTATTAGGATTTCATCTTCACGATTAACTAGTGTTTTTTGGGGTGGGACAGATGATTCCTGTGGAGCTGGAGCAGCATTGTCCCTGAGGTAGGAGGACTGGGGTGATGGGCTTTCAAGTAATGTGGTCTTGAGTTCTGTCTTAGCTCTTCCTATGGGCTGAGCACAGTTCCCAGTGCATTATGGGATTCAGCACATTGCTTCCTCTTAGCTATCTTAGATGGAACTGTTAGTGACCTTAGTTTTGATGAGAAGACTCAGACTCAGAGGTACCAGCAGCAAAAGACACATACTACAGCGAGGCAGGGAGTGGCTGACCCTCAGGGCCCAGAGTTCCTCATGCGCTTCAAACCTGGAAGCTGCCTCACACTCAGTCACCCAGAACAAGGTGTCAGGAACCTATTTTCACAATGCGGTTGGCAAGACCTCCTGTGCAGAGAAGAGTTCCACAAAAGATGGGAATGACATTGATGGGTAGAGGTGGTCTTTTTTTGTTGTTTTTTGTGTTTTGAGATGGGATCTTACTATCTAGTTCTGGCTGTTTTGTAATTCAGTATTGTAGACCAAGCTGGTCTTGAACTCACAGAATTCAAGATCTGCCTGTCTCTGCCTCCCTGCTTGTATGGATGTGGCCCATTCTCAAAAACAAAACACCCAAACCAACCAACCAAAAAAACCTCCAATGACTTAATCCCACCCAAGGTCACATGACCAGCCTACCTCTCTCCCACCAAGTTTCTGTCTCTCTTAGCCCTCCTTCACCAGGTTCTTCACAGTTCCTCCCACAAGAGATCTTATCACATGCTGCTTCTCTTCTCTGGAACATTCTTTCTCCCAATCTCCCCTTTTAACGTTTCCTTATAAGCCTTAGGCCTCAGACTATCCATGGCCATAGATCATTGTCTCCCACAATCCTCCTTTCCAAGGCCTCATTTATCTCCTTGGAAGCAATGATCATTAGTAACTAATTGACTTTGTTTCTGAAAGCTGAGAGGGAAGGCTCTGCATCTGGACTGTTTACTCTTCCTTAGCTCCTGGGAGCACCAGGCCTATGAAAGACACTGGAGATTCATGGAATGACAGTCTCTCCTCAGCCTCATACAAGCACTTCTGTATTGACAGAAACTCACCAAAAAAGGTGGGGTTAACTGGGCAGGGACAGTCCAAGGCTGTCTCAGTGATTGTTTTTGATACAGTGGGGACCCAGACCTTTCTGATCTGTTTTGTCATTCTGCCACACAGACACAGGTATCATAGCAGTGGGGAAATATTTGAAGAAATGTACTATCAGGGCCTTCACCATTATGCTGATGTCATAGTGAGTTTTTACATAGACTTTTAGATGCTTTAGCCACTGTGTATTTAGGTTTCATGGCATATGCATGTGGTAGGACTTAGTCCTCAATCCACACAGAAGGAAAACTCAGACTGAGCACAGGAAAAAGTGACACCATCAAGAGATGCGGCAAGCATGGGGTTTTGGGCTCAGGATGTGATTCAGTGGTAGGGCTTTTGCTCAGCATGTTCAAGGTCCCAGGTTCAATCCCCAGCACATCCAGAAACAACCCCCTATCCCTGCCGCCTCTGCAACCTGCAAGGCATATTCGGCTGTCTCTGGAGTAACATGTCTACTGCTATCCTCTAAACTGTTTTTAGATTAAGAAACAGGACTGTATTCACTACCTTTTGCTGATGTCATAAAATATTACAACCAAAGGCAACTTATAGAAGGGCTTGTGGTTCCAGAGGGAGAGTCCATAACGGAGGGGAGGCTGGCACAGGAAACACAAACCAGAGAGAACCAACCAGAAACAGGGAGAGCTTCTTAAAGCCCACCCCCAGCGATGTCCATCCTCCAGCAAGGCCCCATCTCCTAAAGGCTCCATGGCCTGCCTAGACATCGCCACCAACGGGGTGAGCAAGCATTCAAATATTCGAGCCTATGGAGGACGTGTCTCATTCAAACCACCACACGTAGATTCTGAATGGCCATAAAAGCCATAGGCCGGCACACAGAGAAAGCAGGGACACAGGTGTGTACTTCCATCAAGAATTATGTAATATGCTTAACTGTCTGTACTATATTTTCTGCCCCGGCAGCATAATAGGTTTGCGTAGGCCGATATCCCCACAAATGCATGCGCTTCATTCCAGAGACTTTATGAAACAGACTTTATCACTGCAGTGGCATTAGGTGACCGGAAATGTTCAGCTCCATTGTCATCTTGTGGGACCACTGTTGGTGTCTTTATGAGGAGCTCAGTTGGATTTTGACCTCTGTTTTCTAGACGGTACCATGACTTCTAACACAAGTGTGAACTCCAGGCAGGGAGAACAGGGGGTTAAAGTGTAAGCTACTGCGTTGGCCAGTCTATGGGCTTAAACTCCTATCTTATGGCTTGGAGCTGTGCCATGCAGTGCCGGTCAAGCTACAAGGGAGGCTGGGAACTTGCTCTGCAGCTGGTCACATCACAGCTTCAAATAAAAGCAGAGTTCCTCTGCTGATGAGGAGGAAGGAAGAACGGATATTGGAAAGACACCCAATGGAGTCTGTGACAGCTTCTATGGGGGAAGGGAGCGTGGGAAGGGCCGCAGAAGTAGCTTCTTGTTCTAGTTAATCTAGAAGTTCCCAGATGTAGCCAGACCCTTTTATCCTGAGGTTAGAAAGAATGGGGCCTCTGCATCATGAGCTCTGTACAAGGCTCACGTGACCCTCATGGCTGAGAGACCACTACCAGGTCCCAGCAAGATGAGGGAGGTACTGGCCAGGGTTTAAGTGAATTGACCAACAGATGGAGACTCAGATGTATTAGTACTAAAAAAAAAACATTTTAAAAATCCCTCTTTCATAAACCTGAAGCATTTCCCCTCCCATTTTCTCACATATGTAAAGCTGAACAGGACCTCAGTTTTTCTACATTTTTTTTCCTTTTCCTTTTTCCAACAAGCTGATCCTTTTAGGTATAATTTTTTTTCATCCTTTTCACCCATAAAATTTATGAGCATTTATTTGAAAACTTAAAAAAATTGAAAAAACTGAAGGAGAAAGAGTGATTATATATATACGGAAAGCCATAAGAACCACAGTGAATGTGCACAGTTATTGCTTTCTTAAGAAAACAAACCAGCCAGCCAGTTTGGAATGTGAGCAGCTTGTGTGAGGCCAGCCAGAGGCAGAGGCCCAGGGTGAAGGGCCACTGCCCTCTATTCAGGAGTGCTGCCTGGTGCTGTCTCCACTCCCAGCCTTCTCCTCTTCCCTTTGACCAAGACAGAAAAGAGCTAAGGTTTAAAATACTCCTTTAGAAAAGCAAAAAGACGGAGGCCATTAGAGAGTGCAGGCTGCACGAGAGTCCAAGGAATACTGGGCCTCAAAGAGCTTCCAAGCTAGCCAGGAGAGGCCTCTGGGAAAAATCAGGGGCCCTGCTGAAGGACAAGAGGAGAGGCTAGCCACAGGCAGGCCAGACCACACGGAGCTATGGAATGTGCTACCATTGTCCAAAAGTTGTCTTAAATACTTGGGTTCTGAGAACCACAGAGGCAGGACAGTTGTCCAAATTTGTCCTTCAGTGCCCCCCACTCCCTGTTTTCCCAGAAGAGCTCTGTCCCTATGATGTTTGAGAGCTAGGCCTGATGCTTCTACTCAAAATGTGGTCCCAGGCACGTTGGGCCAGGGGCTGAGTAAGGTGGAATCTATAAAATGTTCCTAGGCTACAGTCATGAGTTCTGCCAACTGTCCCTGTTTTCCATAGACCCTTGAGTTAGTGGCCACACCAACAGCCTCCTCTTGCCCCTTACCCCTCCAGATGACTGAATTGGGCCCCATGAGAGAGGCAACTCCAACCTATTAAGCCTTACAAAGTTCTTCCCAGAGTATTAGTGACAGCCCTTAGAGATAATGGCATAGGCTCAAAATCTCCAGCCTATGCCTGTTGGGCCAGCCTCTTGCTAGCATCTCTGGGATTCTTCTTGGATCTTCAATTGGCCTCCTGTTCTTCCAAGCCAGTTTAACAAAGCCTTGCGGTTCTCATCCGTCCCTGATCCCCCAGCCCACCTCCCTCAACTTCCTGAAGCAGAGGGAAAACCACAGAGGAGATGTTCATAAAACTGTACTTGGGATGTAAACGGGAAATACACTATAGAAAACAGGAAAGCCGGACGTGGTGATGACGTTCATGTCCTCCATAAGGAAATCCATTAAATCTGTTCTGTTGATGGGGATAAGCTTCCCGGACCCTCCCTCAGCACAGGAGAAGCACTCTGTCCTCATGATCTGTCATGGGAGTGCATGCCTTATTTCTTTGTCACAGGCAAAGATTTGGGCTTTGACATGACATTCCCCAAAGACTTTTGTCACTGGAAAGTCTCTCTCTTTAGGGGGCCTTTATTTCAGGCCTAAGTTCTGCCCTTTCTTCTGAAAATACATGCCACTAGCCATTGTACAGTGACAACTTTGCATCTTCAAAGTAGCCAATGGGTTTCACGGAGCAGATATAAGCCAAAGCTGAAGGAGGCCACAGGTGGGTCCTTGCCCTCCCAAACTCCAACAGAAGCTCAAGCCTGGTGACTTTGCCACATCAAAGCCTCAGCAAAATATGGCTGTCCTCAACCTACACTGTCCTGGCTACCCCCTCCCTGCCCCCACACCTCCCCACACCTCCCCGTTGTCAGTCCGATACCCATAGTGGCTTCTGATTGCCCTGCAGACCTGATGAAGCTTTTGGTGTCCTATTGAGACATGTTTCATGGCTTGATTTTAAAGTAAAGAAATGCAAGTGTCCTGGGGTTTCAATGTGTCACAGCTGGAGGGCTCCACAGAGATTGCCACGGTTGCCTACTCAACCAGCACCTCTCCGCCTCATTCTGTTCTCTTCTGAAGTTAGAGAATAAATGTCTTTGTAGGCATTTTTTCCCCCACATGTATCAGAAGAGCAACTTGCAACTTGATAAAAACTTGCATGGGAAAAACAGTGGAGTTTGTTGGCTCTCCCCAGAACGAGGCATACCTGAGCCGTGGCTTTTGCATGAGGAATGAGAATACAAACAAATTAAAAATAACAACCAAGTGATGGCTCCTAATGAACAACGCCTGAGATTATGGTCTGGCCTCCATATGCACAAACGTACAAGCAGACCAAACCCAGCAGTGTGCCCCATTATGAGAGCAGGTGCTGAGGCGGAATGATTCTGCATCTTGTTCAGGTCTGTACGCAGCCATCAGCTACCTGGCACAGGCCATGAGGTACAGGCTGAAAAATAACTTATTTACACAAGATATCACCACCTAGGAACTTACCAACTTAAATCAGGAACACTGGGCCTCAGGGGCATCTCAATGCTATCAGAGGGGGAAAAAAAAAAAGGTCTGTGAGCTTATCAAACAACAGCGAATGATGCAACTGTGTCACCTGGGTCACCAAATACTGGGTCGGGGTATAGTAGTACCCATCATCAGACCATCAGGTACACCTGTTACAATGTGGGCAGGCAATACGCTGTTGAGTCTCTTCCTGAATTTTCTGTTCAGCATGATCTGCATGGCCAACCTCCATTCTGTCATTCAGACGCAGAAAGCCTTGAGCCAGCTCAGGACCTTGAACGAGCTCAGCATTTGGCAACCCTGTGCCTGAGCAGCTCTGTAACGGGCTTGGCTACATCAGTATCTTATCTCACCACCTGCATCCGATCCTGCCTTTACTAAGAGCCTTCTCAATCCAGCACCTCCTTTAACTCTTTGGGGGAATCTCTCTAGTGTTTTTGAAGTGTTATGTGTGGTCACAGAGTTAATATCAGTAATCAGGAAGAACCTGTGTTTGCCAACGGCCATGGATATCAAGCAAAACTCATAGTTGGTGAACTAAAGCCATTGGAATTGATGCAATGTGTGCATTTATTGTTTGTTGTCCAATGAATCCTTACACTGTAAAAACACAAATATGTCCGTCCTTGTTTCTGACGTAGTGAACTAACAGGAAGGTATCTGGGGCTGTGGGAAACCGGATGAGTAGTCCCAGCTGGGAGATCTCAGGCGCAGCTGACCCCCATGGTCAAGGGTGGAAGCCTGGCTTATCTCTCCACCTGCCCCTTTCCCTGACACTTTATCAGGAAGAGTGGAAAGGTGCCACAGTTTGGAACTCCTGCCTCTCCCTCTCCATGGGACTTGATCCAGATGTGAGGGGAACTGTCCCCAGGGACCCCTGTCAGTGTTTAAAAAGGCCTCAGACCTCAGTCTTGGCCTCAGCCTGACCTTCTCACCATGCAGAGGCTGCTGATTCTGAGTGTGCTGCTGGGAGCAGTCTTTGGCAATGAGAACTTTGTGGGGTAGGGTTGTGGAAAAGAGTGGGTATCTGGAGGGAGGATGAAATGGCTTTCCCCAAGTTGGTGTCTGGAAGAGACAGACAGACAGACAGACAGACAGACGGAAGCACAGCCAGAGAAGACAGACACCAGACACCACTCTGAGACAGCAGGCTGGGGGAGGCAGGCAAGGCAGGGCTTGGAAGGGTCCAGCTTCTTCTGGACACTGAGAGAATTAAACTCTGAGAAGGAATTTTTGGAAGGAGAAAGAGGAGGTCTGGTTGGCTTGGGAATAACTCAGTCTGAACTGTGGTGGGGACAGCATGAAAGTCTAGAGGCTTCCAAAGACAGGAAACAAAGAGATGAGGTTTAGGTCTCTCATTGCACAGACCCCCTTGTGCCTTTTCGGGTTTAGCCTGGGAAGTGCCGGGGTAGCTCAAGTTCTCAGAGCCCCTCCCACTTACCCAGGCACCAGGTTCTCCGAATCTCTGCAGCCGATGAAGCCCAGGTGCAGACAGTGAAGGAGCTGGAGGACCTGGAGCATTTGCAGGTTAGACTCAGTGCAGGCTTCCCGGAGGAGCCAGACTTCCTATGCCATCCAAGACCGACTCCCATAAACACCTAGTTAGTCCCTAGGCTCTGGCCCAGCCTCTCGGCAAAGAGCCATGAGACCGAGTGGTTGGGAAATGACTTCAGACCCCAGACTCAGATCTTAATGCCCCTGAGAATCCAACGACATACCAGATCCCTTTCCTGCTTCTTGTCTGCCTTGCTCCTCAAATCGTCTCCATTCTGGCCATTTCCTGACCATACTGGACTTTGTCCAGCTCCCAAGCTCCCCCATTCTTCCTCTGCTCCCAGCACCCATTCCTTAACTCCAGCCACGTGGGAGCTTCTAGCGCCAACGCCCCTTCTCAGGCTCTCCCACTCTGCTGCCCTGGTTGGTGCCTCTAGCCCACTGAAACAGTTCTGGCTTCTGTCTTTCCTAGTTGGACTTCTGGCGGGATCCTGCCCGGGCTGGTATCCCCATTGATGTCCGAGTACCCTTCCCCAGTGTCCAGTCTGTGAAAGCATTCTTGGAATATCATGATATTAGCTATGAGATCATGATTGAAGATGTGCAGTCACTGCTCGATGAAGAGAAGCAGCAGATGTCCGCCTTCCAGGCCAGGGCCCTGTCCACCGACACATTCAATTATGCCACCTATCACACTCTGGATGAGGTGAGGACAGCCCTGGGAAATTGTGCCCACAATACCATACTTTTCTTCATGGTTGGCAGAATACAGATAAGGGCCAAGGCTGGTCTGGCTGTGGGTAGGAGACACCTGTATTCCCAGAAGCCATTAGTTCCTTTTCTTCTTCTCATCTTAGATCTACGAATTCATGGACTTGCTGGTGACAGAGCACCCACAGCTTGTGAGCAAGATTCAGATCGGCAACACCTTTGAAGATCGGCCCATCTACGTGCTGAAGGTAAGTGAAGTCTGCATGTAGACAAGGGCACACGTGCAAAAATGGGCTCCCATGTGGGCCTCCATAGAAGGGTGTGGACTCATAGATGAGTAATGGAAAGTACTGTTCTACACAGTTTCTGTGCAGATCTTTGGGAAGGTCTGAGCATTCCTGCTGGCCTAGGTGGCTATATATACATGTTCACGTTTAAGGTGACCCCAGGGTCACCAAACTCAGTGCTGCAATATGAGAAGAGTATGGAGTCTGGCATCCAGATAAAATGTTTTCCTGGTGACCTTCCACAGTGTATCTGAGCATCAGAACAAGGCCAGAATCTGGAAGTCAAGAGTCTAAGCTCTATAGGGTCCCTGTCTGACCCCTAACCCCATTATCTCCTCAAAGGATGGGCCCGAAAACAGTCCCCTCCACTTTAGATACACAGAGAGCAGGAGGCTTCTGGCCCGGGTGTTTCTTTGCAGGGCCTGGCTGGAAAGTTGCCCCTTAACCGGTTTTTCTCTGCCTCTTTTCCAGTTCAGCACTGGAGGGAACAATCGCCCAGCAATCTGGATTGACACTGGCATTCATTCCAGGGAGTGGGTCACCCAGGCTAGTGGGATCTGGTTTGCAAAAAAGGTAAAGCTGGGGAGATAAGGAGGGCTCTTGCTTGCTGGGGAATTGGTATTCACAGATCATGGGAAGCTGGCCCTTCCCTTCCTAGAAGCAATGCCCACAAAGGGAGGCCAGGGGATGTATCCGTTGTACCAACACGACTAACGCTCTATCTTTTCTTCCACTACCCACCAGATCACAAAAGACTATGGCCAGGACTCCACTCTCAAAGCCATTCTTGACAACATGGACATCTTCCTGGAGATTGTCACCAACCCTGATGGTTTTGCCTACACCCACAAAACGGTACAGATTGCTTCTTGTTCCCCGGGAAAGCGGGATGTACCTTTGAGCCCCACAAGTGGAGGAAGGGTCAAGTAGGTCTGTCCTTATAGAACTGGGGCTCTCAGCCTCGGCACTATCTTGCTGTCTTAGGCAGATGATTCTTTGCTATTGGGGGCTGTCTGTGCATGATAGGTGTTAAATAGCCCCTTGACCTACTTATTAGATTTTGTTAGCAACTCTTCACTGCTACAATAACACAAAGCACCTCTAGACACTGTAAAATGTCTTAAGGGAGCTGACACTGTCCTCAGTTGAGACCCCTGCTCTAGTCCCAATTTCCATAAAAGCCTTTATTCTGTGGCAAATGCAGCAAGCTAGCAGTCCAGCTGTTCTGACCCCTGGCTTACCCTCTCTCCTCCCTCAGAATCGCATGTGGCGCAAGACCCGATCACGCACCCAGGGCTCTCTCTGCGTTGGGGTGGATCCCAACAGGAACTGGGATGCTGGCTTTGGGAGTAAGACTTCCCATGGGGCAGGGATGGGACAACATGGCTTCTAGTCCTCCTTTGTCCTGGTTGCTTACCCCTTTCCTGACCCAGCAGTGAGGGAGAATGTGGGCTCTTAGCTCAGCCGGAGGCTTCTCTGGGTTGGAGGTGGCACTCAAGGACTTAAGCCCTTGTTTGTAAAACAGAAAGTTCCTTTTAGATGCAACTGGGGTCTGCGAGCTTCTCTTGGTGCCTAGCTTAGTATCAATTCTTGCCATCCTTGGTCATGACCCTGTGTAAACTGGTTTCTGCTCTACCCAAGCCTGGCTGGAAAAGGAAGCAGGGCTCCAGATAGGGTGATGGCTAGCTGCTCCTAAACTCAGGGGAGGCGGGTGAGGCCTCCCACTTTCCACTAAGTTCATGAAATATACTGGGAGCCATGGAAGTTTTGGGTTAAGAAATCATAGCTGTGTCCTCTGCCTTTCCACAGAGGCTGGAGCTAGTAGCAACCCCTGCTCGGAAACTTACCATGGCAAGTTTGCCAACTCTGAAGTGGAGGTCAAGTCCATCGTGGACTTTGTGACGGACCATAAGAATATCAAGGCATTTATCTCCATCCACAGCTATTCCCAGCTCCTGCTCTACCCCTATGGCTACAAATCAGATCCAGCTCCTGACAAGGAAGAGCTGGTGGGTAATGACCCCGATTGCCCTCCATCCGGGTTCATTCTGTGTTTCCACCTTAAGGAAACTGGGTTTCACTCCTCAAAGCTACCAGTGTACCCAGTACCCACCTTTTCCCAGTCTCCTGATGATTTGGCAAGTCTGGCAGGATGATTTATGTCAACCAGCAAGGTAGACTTGCTTCATTTGCTAGGAAACAGAAGCATAGCATATGGTTGAGTCACATGTGTCTCGTAACAGAGCAAGAGGCCAGGCTAGTCTTTGAAGCTGTGGGCTCTTTCTGAAGCTGTGACTGGAGAGAAGAGGTACCCCATCCATCCATCCTGTGGAGACGAAGGGAACATGAAGCTGTCACAGTGTAGGGCTAACCCTGGCTGAGAGCACAGGGCCTGATTATGCTGTCGCCCACTCCTTGGCCACCCTGACAGTGCTTGGGTTACTCTGGCCCTAACCATGGTGCTATTCAATGTTTTCCCCAGGATCAGCTAGCTAAGTCTGCTGTGTCAGCCTTGACATCTCTCCATGGGACCAAGTTCAAGTATGGCAGCATCATTGATACAATCTGTAAGTTACTGGTGGCCTGGAAACCGGCATCGGCTGGCTCTTCTTGCCTTGGGTGCTCAGATCTGGGAGTTGCTAGCTCAACTATTTGAAGAGTGGGCAGTGCCTCTTCCTGATATTGAATCCTGACTTCTCGGACACTGTTTGGAGGGTCCCTTATCTATCCTCCAAGCATATCTGTCCCCTTATCTTGAGGTCACATCTGGACCCCTGCACGGATGAGTTGGAACTCTGATGGGATTTATAGGTCTCCATAAAATTCTGTTTAAGATACGCCTTTCCACTCCCTTCCTTACAGGATACATGAGATGCCCTTGGGAGGATCATTGTTACACGCACATGGAAGACAGTCGGCAGGGGTGTTTACTGACCACCTGCTTTGCACTGGGCCTTGTCCTGTGCGCCTAGAATATAGCTGTCAATAAAGAGAGTAAACATACATTCGAGGCAGGAAGACTGACCATGTGCTTAGAAACCACAGTAGATCAGGTGATAGATGTAGGGGAAATAACAGAGCCAGTCAGGGGCACCAGGAGTACTAGGGTGGAGGTTGAATACCAGGCTAAGAGGCAGGCTTTCAGACTGAGAAGAATTTGGGCTAGTGGTGAAGGAAATGAAGGAAGCCAGGAGAGGCCATCTGTCTAGGTAATAGGCCTCCAGGCAGAAGAACTTTCTAGAGTAAAGGCTGAGCTGTGTGATGTGGTATGGGGTGTTTGGGAAATTTTTTGCCTCAAGAATTTTGCCTGGCAGGCAAAAGCAGGACATGGGTACCAGGGCAGGAGAACGGCACACACGTTTCGCATGCTTCCTCGATGGCGGGCTCCAATTTTAGGCAGGGAGGAACTTGTTTGGGATTCCAGGCTTTCTTTGGAAACGGTTTCCAACTGGAACCCAATGATTTTGCTGTATTTAGTGTCCTGAAGTGAAATTCTAATGTGAAGCCCACCTCCCTCTCCTACTGCCCAGTTCAACAAAAGCAGCTTTGTCAGCCAGTGTGTTCCACAAACCTGTGAGATTTTTTCCCTCCTGAAGACAGACAGATAGGCTTTGCTTTGACTGTGACTGTTGGGTGGAGACAGTTTTCAGACAGGCTTTTGCAATTACAAAGACTTTGGCAACCTGCTAATGAATAGGACAGCCATTACTGGTTGCCGGTCCCCTATTTGGGCCTCTTAGGCTTAGACCCAGTAGAAGTTTCCTGGAAGCCCCACTGTGTGTCAACAGCAGCCCCTAGAAGACATTGACTCTATTTGGAATTATACAAGGTTTTGGGCTCTGGGTGTTCACTCGATTCATGTAGAGATTTCTAGTGATCAACCCTTACCCTCTCCTCCGTCTTTGCTCCTCACCCAGATCAAGCCAGTGGGAGCACTATTGACTGGACCTACAGCCAGGGCATCAAGTATTCTTTCACTTTTGAGCTGAGGGACACTGGGCTCAGAGGTTTCCTGCTGCCTGCCTCCCAGATCATCCCCACGGCGGAGGAGACATGGCTGGCCCTTTTGAAGATCATGGACCACACCTACCAAAACCCCTACTGAAGCAGCCCTATGTCCTGCCTCTTTCTTCTCCTTAGCTCCAATAAAGTCTGATTGTATGAGAAATAGGATCTTGGGGTTCTGTAAGAAATGCACATGGAATGTCCACCTTTTTGGTGGGGGCAGAAGTGATTAAGTTCCTGAGGGTCTCAATGGAAATGTGCGGGTCATTGAACTACATGACCCCCAAATTCTCCTGCATTCCAGGGTTCCATAAAATCACATCCAAGAGAGGCAGGGGGCTGGTTTGTTCATATCTTAGTAGTAGGCAACAGCCACAGCCACTAACCAAATGCATGGTATCCCGTGGTGACAAGGAATTCAGCATGTACAGCAGGCTAGCTGATGGTATCCACTCATCTTTAAAAGCAGTAACCTGGAGTATGGAATATAAAAGTCCTGCTAGCCACTGCTGTCCAAAGGTGATGTTACAGGTGAGTCAAACAGATTACTGTGAAGCAAAATGTGGCCTCCTACTCCTGAATAATGAGGTGAAATGAAGTCATTTGCTGACGCAAAGGACTGAGTGCCCAGCCAGGGACATTGATGAACGGAAGTGTACTGTGGATGCTTCACCTGGAACGGTGGAAACGGCTTACATTTTGTTTGCCAAATCCTTCATGAAGTTCCCAGTGCATGAGCTCTGCTGCTCCTTGTTCCTATCCACTCCTCCATATTCCTGTCCATACCCCTCTCTGAAAAGCTGACCTCCCTTGGCATGGTGACCCTCAGGTCTGTGGTAGCACACTTACCAGTGAGCATCACAATGTACGAATCGCCTGCCTTCTTTAAAGCAAGAATTGACCTTGGTTCCCTCTGCATCCCTCAGATATGAGGGTGGGGCTAGAGGTGCTGCCACAGAAGGATCCATGTAGCTAGGCTGGGATGACTCAGGGCTCCTTCCTCTCTCTGTCACTTGGATTTCAAGATGCTTCCAGCACTAGGACATAAGTCTTTTCTTTTTCATAGAAAACGGCTTGAAGGTTAAAAAGCTTTTCATCTCAGAGTTCTATTTTAATACTTTTCCTACCATATATTAAAAAAAAATAGACCAAGGCTGATTATACATAAATATCTGCATACGAAGATTAGGAGACCAGAAGAAAGGTCTTTCCAGCCAGCTGATGGTATGGTCTTATAATCCCAGCATGAGGAACATGGAGGCAGGAGGATTGTGAGTTTGGTCCCAGCCTTAGGCTACAAACAAACAAACAAACAAACAAAGGTATTTTAAACTAAAGATTTGGTAAGACTCCTTTATCTTTTGGAAACTATGTCCCTTTAAACATGTGACAAGAGCCTGCAGATGAGTTAAAGCTGTGTTTTAACTGCTTCAGCTGGTCACCTTCTAAATAAAGACTGGTAAGAAAACAATATTAGGTTAATAGGAGGACATTATTTTACAAATGACAGATGGTACAACTCCTTGATTTAAAATAAACCATGTAACCATGTTCTCCTTGCTGTTAAGGACCACCTCGTCACTCCATCTCTGACATCAACAGTTCTGGGAATACAAGTGCCTAGTAATTGTTGAAAGAATTCTACTTTTAGAGAGGGGGGGAGGGAGAGAGAGAAAGAGAGAAAGAGAGAGAGAGAGAGGAGAGAGAGAGAGGAGGAAGAGGGAAGAGGAAAGGGAGAAGGAGGGAGGGAGGGAGGGACAGACACTGACTGAAGGCATACATAGCCTTAGTTAGTCAGGAACTCACTATGTAGAGAAGACTGGCCTTGGAATTCACAGAGATCCTTCTGCCTCTGCCTCATGAGTACAGTATTAAAGGTGTGTTGTCACCATGACTATCTTAAATCAATTCATTTTATGATCTGCATGTCATTTAGGTTCCTTAAAATATCCCATGTGCAAATTCATGTTACTATGAATTCTCAGAAGTGTGGTTCAAAATGTAAGGTTCTGAGCAAGCAAGAGAGAAAAGAGAGAAAGTGGAAAAGTTGGGGATGGATATGTACCTCAGACGGCAGAGGGCTTACTTAGTAGGCACGAAGCCCTGGGTTTGATCCTCACCGATTCATAAAAACGTGTCACTTGCATGCCTTATAATTCTAGTACTTGGGAGGGGGAGGCAGGAGGATTTGCAGTTAGCTCAAGGTCAAGGCCAGCTTGGGATACATGAGAACATATCTTTAAAAAAAGAAAAGTGAGGAAGCACATGAATTTCATGAAGGTAGAGGCTGCACCGGGTTGCTTCATGTACTCTCCACTGCTAGGCCAAGACCCAACATTTAGTGGTGTTTATATTAACAGCAAGTTTGATAATAAATGAATATTAGTGATATTGAGCTCACTTATATTGCAGCTGTGAGGAGAGCTTTATGCTAGTCTCAGAGTTAGAAATCCATAGGTACCATTTGTATACATTCATAAATATAAAGCTAAAAGATAACAACTTTAGGAAATACTACAACTTAAACAAAAATAAGTACTAATAACCTTGAGTGGGTAAAAGTAAATAAAATAGACTGAAGGAGAGACCCTGTCTCCAAAAGCAAAAAAAAAGTAATATTTCAAAAGAAAAGCAGCTATCTCCCAAAAAGATGAGATAGGAAAATTCAATAAAACATGAAAGATGTGAGCCTCAGTGAACTCTTGGATATTAAACATTTCTCTTTCATCAGATCGAGGACAACATAAGGCTGGCGGCACAGGGTTATCGAGGGCATGAGGAAATAAATACAGCCTTGTGCTTCGGGCATGAGGATAACTTCCTGTACATTTGGCAATTTGACTTTAAAAATTAAATACAGTGCCTCTTTGACTCAGCAAATCCATTTGAAAGAATTTATTTTATGAAACTATTTGGACTGGACTGAAAGATCAGAAGAGCAAAGGAGCAAAGTCCATCCAAAGGAACTGTCTTCATACAGATCAGTATTGTTCCTAGTGTGCCCCAGCCACACAGAAGCATCTCCTAAAACCAACCATCCAGGTCTGTGTTCACCTGGAAACAATGTTCACAGCATACTAAGGGAAAGACGTTGGCTACAAGATGGGAAGGTTCTAGAACTGAATTGTGTTGATGGGAGAACAGTTCTGCAAATTTACTAAAGTCATTGCATTCTTCAAATAGCTGAGACGCAGGGTAGATGGTTTGCACACCAATAGCTGTTTTTGTAAAAAGTTAGCTACAAAACAGGATGTTATGAACATCGTTGTGTCTAACACACAGATACACACACAGATGCATTCACACTTGCCAACAGCCCCCCCCAGATGTACACACACACAGATGCACACATGCATGTGAACATACACAGATAAACACACATACGCAGAGACACAAACAGACAGGTACTCACATACACAGACAGACAGACACACAGAGACGCAAACACACAGACAGGGCTACAAACAGATATACACACACAGACACGCAGAGACACAAGATACACACAGACACACTAACACACAGACACATACACATACTCATAGGCTGTGGATTTGCTGTTTATATTTTCCAATTCTCCACTGTAAAAGCAATGGGCTTTTCCAATCAGCCTTGGGCTGGGGAGGGCTACCTGAAACACCGGGAGACAACCCTGTGGATGTTGCTTAGCTACAATTCACCAGCATCAAGCATCTCACAGCCTCCTTCGTCTTTGTTCAGTTCTTTCTTTTAATAATTTGTTTAAATTCCAAACTTCTGTTCCAGCATCTCATTTCACTGACTTTCCCTGCTTTATATTTAGAGAAATGTCTATTCTGGCTAGCTGTGTTAGTAACAAGGCTGGGGGCGCACAGGTTCCTAGCCGGGACATACTTTAAGTCCTCCACTGTAGCTGCAGTAGAGACTCCCAAGGGCCCTTTCTGCTCACATTCAGTTCTCCTTGCAACTGTGGGAATGTATTATGCCGATGCCGAGTCTCCAAGGCCCCTAGAAGGGCTTTATTTCAAGTGAACTCATTTCATGTCTTCCTCAGGACATTACAGGTGGCTCTTGGTGAAGCCCAGGGGGCATCGCTACTCCATGAGAAGTTTTTAGGTAGTCTCTTGAATTAACACTCGGATTCGGGTGTTTAGCTTTCTGGCTTTGGCCTGAAGCTAAAGTGTCATTGAACGTAGTCCAGATATGACTTCACCCACCCCTCAGCATGAAGAGCTATTCATCATCCTGGCAACTGTTCTGCAGGGCCAAGAGGGACGAGGTAGATTGGAAGATGCACAGGGGCTCCTGCTTGGAGGACTAGGAAAACATCCTTTGTGAACATGCTAAGCCCCAGATGTTGCCTGGAGGAACTTGAGATGAACAGCCATAACGTTTGCAGTGTCCCAGCCAAGAAGAGCTCTGGGGAAAGTGCAGAGCACCATCAAACCTGAGAACTCGTCAGAGGGAAATGAATTCTTCCCCAAAGCTTTCAGGATCCGCATTCATTTGGCAACTCAAACTGTGAGCATCATCTAAAAACCCCAGAGATGGAGCCGGCCAAGTGTTCACTGCCAAAGTAAAAGGAGAAAATTAAAAGTCCCTCTTAACCACGGTCACAGTGCCAGCTGTGCTGGAGAAGAATGTGGTGAGGTAAGGCGTGTGCTGACACAGGCTGCAGCTGTGCCTCTGTTTCCCCCACGAAACACGGGCCTGGGGCCATTGGCCAGTTCTTGAAATTGGTGTCGGCCTAAACCAGAAATGTTATCAAAGAAGAGATTAGACAGCAATCACATCAGCGCGCTTTATTTCGTGAACAGTTTAGACAATGCGGGCAATGGCCTATATCCCCTTCTACAATCAGTTAAAATTCTGTAACTCTCACTCCATAAGTGAAAGCTCACCATGTGACTGTGGAGACAGGACCCCTGACCCCGACGGTGGAGATGTGAAAAAATGTACCCAGGGGCGGCTATTTCGTGCGCTCTGCTGTGTTTTGCATAGTTAGATAGAAGGCAGCAGTTTCCAGAACAATCTCATTGATGAAGAAGGCAGGGAAGCCAAAGCCAGGCAGAAGTTACATTTCCGTGGGGAAACTGAGGAATCACTCAGGAAGACCTTGCACGGCTGAGTCTCCTCTGAAAAGCCAAAGCTGAGAGCCCATTGGGTTTTGCTTGGGAGCCACCA